GGGGGGGGGGGGGGGGGGGGGGGGGGGGGGGGGGGGGGGGGGGGGGGGGGGGGGGGGGGGGGGGGGGGGGGGGGGGGCTCGAACGCTACTACAGGGAAGAAAGCCGGTTTATTTGCGATACCCACAGTGTCCGGAGGGAATGTAGCACTCCCTATTCAGGGCAGGTCGCTGTTGTCGGTACAGTCGCCATTAGTCGGGGTGCGGTGGTGCCAAGCGATTTTGTCATCTCTCTGACAGGGGCAATGTCGCTCAACGTGGGGTCGCTAAATCAGGCCCACCACTGCTGTAGTTGGAAGCGGATGTAAGATGATCGACCTTGCGCCGCGTGTGTGTCGTCTCTATCGCCTGCCCAGGTGCTGGAGACGGAGCGTGCGTGCCTGGAACACGACCGGGCCGAGCTCGTTTTCGAGCAGGCTAGGTCTATGCTGCCCAAGTGAAACTGCCGCGGCGCCGGCTTGGGAGCTTTGAAGACTTTACGCCCCACGGCTAGTCCAAACAGTTTTTGTTATTACAAACGGTGCTTGTTGCCTCGTCGTGCAAGGCGCGTGCGGCTAGATTGCAGCTTCGCAATACAGCGCGTGCGTCGTGAGGCGCGACAGAAGAACGCGTGTGATAGGCATGCAACAATTCATGCTGGTTGATGGGGGAGGTGTTTAGTTTTTCCGGTCTCTTCCTCTAATCAACTTGGATTGATGTTGGCTTGGTCCATTGGAAAAATCTGTTTTACGTAGTGACTCGATTTGACCTCTTCTTTTTTGTGTCCTTGACGGGGCCCGTTTTCTTCCTGTTTACGTCAACAACTACTGTTTGTGGCCATCTCGGAGGAGCAGGAAATTGTCGCCGACAAGCAGCACGCTTGTGACTTGAGTTGCGCTCCGCGCTTGGGTCTGAAAGCTTGAGCCAGGGCGATGCGCGGCGTAAAAAAAGAGCCTTGCCTCCTGCCACTCTCGTCCTTGTCGCTGTGCTTGCATCCCTCGACATGGAAATTTCGTTTTGTTTGTTGAAACCCCAACCTTTCGTCGGTGACTGTACGTATGTCGTTGTTTTGTTATTTTTTTCCGGGTTCCGGTTGCAAGATAGACGTACGGGGGGCCCGCGGTTGTTGCAGTCGACCCCACATGTGTCCAGGAATATCTGTCTATTGTCATTGTGACGACGTCCTCCCTGCAAACCAGTCTTGTTGATTTGTTGCATTCGTCGGTGTCAATGCGTCCTCCTGCTCTTGTTACTTGCGACCGGCACGGCTCGTGATGGCCTTCAAACCGGTTGTTGTTTACGTCGCCTTGCCCTTGTATGTGTGCGTGTCTGGGCGGTTGACGGGGCGACCGCCCGTATGTAGGGGGAAAAGGGGCGTGGTTCTTGTTTAGGGCCCCTGTCGTTGGTTGCTTTGTAGCAGCGCGTGGGTGAATTGTAACGCTAAGAGTGGCGTCCTGCACGCCCCTTTTATCCCCGAACACGTGTTTGTTCTCTTGTACGGCGACAGAACTCCCCCCCTGATTGCGTTATGCTTTTGTAACGACGCAATTTAGCTGCATCTTGTCTTTGGGGAGCCCACATGTATAGTCGATGAACAACCAAGATTGTCAGACGACGCCAAACGCCACAGAATGAGAGCGCGCTGTCAACCCCCCCCCCCCCCCCCC